ACCTGCTCCCCCCTCCCCCGGACCAACTCCGCCAGCGCACCTGGGCCACCCTCACCTGCCTCATCCGCGACTTCAACCCCCCCGACCTCATGGTCCAATGGCTGCAGGACGGGCGGCCCCTCCCCCAGGGGCGCCACCTCGACTTCCGGCCACGCCCCGAGCCGGGACACGCCCCTTCCGGCCCGGGACACGCCCCTTCCTACCTGAGCCTCAGCACCTTGACGGTGCCGGCGCGCGATTGGGAGGCCGGGAGCGTCTTCACCTGCCTGGTGGGGCACGAGCGGCTCCCGCTGCGCCTGGCCCAGAGGTCGCTGGACAAGTCGGCCGGTAAACCCGCGCACGTCAACGTCTCCCTCGTGCTGGGGGACTCTTTGGGGGCTTGTTACTAAAAATTTGGGGGTTTTTAGGCAAAAATTTGCACTTTTTTGGAGGCAGAAATAAAGGTTTTGCAGAAAAAAATCGGTTTTTTCCCGGCGAAAATGCGATTTTTTGGGGGTAAAATGGGAATTTTTGAGCGAAAAAATGGAGATTTATGAAAATTTCCAAGTGTGTTTCTATGAGAATGGGATTTGAAAAGTTTTTCCCAAAAATGAGGGTTTTTTCCCCAAAAATCCACCATTTTTACCCCCAAATCCACCATTTTTCCCCAAAAATACCAATTTTCCCCCAAGATCGGACAATTTTTCCCCAAAATAAGGACTTTTCCCCACCAAAAATCCACCAGATTTCCCCAAAAACACACATTCCCCAAAATCCGACAATTTTTCCCCAAAATCACCCAATTTTTCCCCAAATTTCCCCAATTTTTCCCAAAAATCCCCAATTTTTTCCCCCAAAATACCAATTTTTTCCCCAAAAATCCCCAATTTTCCCAAAATCCCCAATTTTTCCCCCAAAAAGCCCCAATTTTTTCCCCCCCAGAGGTCGCTGGACAAGTCGGCCGGTAAACCCGCGCACGTCAACGTCTCCCTCGTGCTGGGGGACTCCCTGGGGGCGTGTTATTGAAAATTGGGTTTTTTACCCCAAAATTTGCACTTTTTTGGAGGCAGAAATAAAGGTTTTGCAGAAAAAAATCCCAAAAAAATCGGTTTTTTCCCGGCGAAAATGCGATTTTTTGGGGGTAAAATGGGAATTTTTGAGTGAAAAAATGGAGTTTCTCAAAAATTTCTGGCTTTGTTTCTGTCAGAATGGGTTTCGAAAAGTTTTTCCCAAAAATGAGGATTTTTTCCTCAAAAATACCAATTTTCCCCCAAAATTAGACAATTTTTCCCCAAAAATACCAATTTTTCCCCAATATTAGACTATTTTTCCCCAAAATAAGGACTTTTTCCCCAAAAAACCACCATTGTTTCCCAAAAACACACATTTCCCAAAATCCGACAATTTTTTCCCAAAATCACCCAATTTTTCCCCAAATTTCCCCATTTTTCCCCCAAAATACCAATTTTTTCCCCAAAATTCCCCAATTTCCCCCAAAATTTCCCAATTTTCCCCCAAAATCCCCAATTTTTACCCCAAAATCCCCCAACTTTTCCCCCAAAATGCCCCAATTTTTTCCCCCCCAGAGGTCGCTGGACAAGTCGGCCGCTGAACCCGCGCACGTCAACGTCTCCCTCGTGCTGGGGGACTCCCTGGGGGCTTGTTACTGAAAATTTGGGGGTTTTTAGGCAAAAATTTGCACTTTTTTGGAGGCAGAAATAAAGGTTTTGCAGTAAAAAATCCCAAAAAAATCGGTTTTTTCCCGGCGAAAATGCGATTTTTTGGGGGTAAAATGGGAATTTTTGAGCGAAAAAATGGAGATTTCTGAAATTTTCTGGGTTTGTTTCCGTCAGAATCGGTTTCGAAAAGTTTTTCTCAAAAATGAGGACTTTTTCCCCAAAATTGACCATTTTTACCCCAAAATCCACCATTTTTTCCCCAAAAATACCAATTTTCCCCCAATATTGGACAATTTTTCCCCAAATAAGGACTTTTTCCCGATTGTTTCCCAAAAACACACATTTCCCAAAATCCGACAATTTTTCCCCAAAATCACCCAATTTTTCACCCAAATTTCCCCAATTTTTCCCCAAAAATCCCCATTTTTTCCCAAAAATCCCCATTTTTCCCCCCAAATCCCCAATTTTTCCCAAAATTTCCCATTTTTTCCCCAAAAATCCCCATTTTTTTCCCCAAAACCACCATTTTTTCCCCAAAATTACCATTTTTCCCCAAAATCCCCCAACTTTTCCCCCAAAATGCCCCAATTTTTTCCCCCCCAGAGGTCGCTGGACAAGTCGGCCGGTAAACCCGCGCACGTCAACGTCTCCCTCGTGCTGGGGGATTCCCTGGGGGCGTGTTACTGAAAATTTGGGTTTTTACCCCAAAATTTGCACTTTTTTGGAGGCAGAAATAAAGGGTTTGCAGAAAAAAATCGGTTTTTTCCCGGCGAAAATGCGATTTTTTGGGGCTAAAATGGGAATTTTTAGGCGAAAAAATGGAGTTTCTCAAAAATTTTCCATTGTGTTTCTACCGGAATGGGTTTAGATAATGAAATCCAGAATTTTTCCCAAAAATACCAATTTTTACCCAAAAATTACCAATTTTTCCCCCAAATTAGACAATTTTTCCCCAAAATAAGGACTTTTCCCCACCAAAAATCCACCAGATTTCCCCAAAAACACACACTCCCCAAAATCCGACAATTTTTTCCCAAAAATCCCCATTTTTTTCCCCAAAATACCAATTTTTTTCCCCAAAAATCCCCAACTTTTCCCCCAAAATTATCAATTTTTTCCCCAAAATCCACCATTTTTCCCCAAAAATACCAATTTTCCCCCAAAATCGGACAATTTTCCCCAAAAATAAGGACTTTTCCCCCAAAAAATCCAATTTTTACCCAAAAAACACACATTTCCCAAAATCCGACCATTTTTCCCCAAATTCCCCAATTTTCACCCAAAATTACCAAATTTTCCCCAAAAATCCCCAATTTTTTCCCCAAA